GCAAAAGTTGCGTATGTAACTTGATCTTCCTTCAAATAATGTTGGATCCGTTTGCACAGGGGATTTTCCAAAGATTTTCCTTTGATTTTCCTTGATTTTCCAACATCGTTGGGGCCACGCACGCGCATTACACATGGTCTCCAAAGTCTTATGGGTTGTACCCTTCACCACGATGCACTACAGGTCCCAACGTTGTTGGGAGTTGTTGCACACCACTGCCAACACGGACACAACAACTCAGCCAACATTGTTAGCACAACAATGTTGGGAGTTTTTGCGTACGTTTTCACGTAGCTTTATAACTGTACTTTATACCTGTGCTTGTAACGAGCCTCTAATTCCGTGTCTAACGTTTCTAACTTGCGAGGGCACACGCCTTTCCAGCGGAAAGACATCTGCTCTATTAGGTTAAATCTACTAAGTTTTCGGATTTGAGTGTCGTTTAACTTCCCTAGGCAAAATGTGAAACTGTCAATGAGAGGTTAAGTTTAACATGGCCTCTGGGATGCATGACCTCGGTAGAGAGAAAAAGAAGATGAATTTTTTTAAGCATTCTACTCTTTTCAAAAGGCGATTTGCCCGATGCCTTCTTTGACTACAGCTACCGGAATTCTTTCTTTTTTCTTGAGCAAATTAGAGCTATTAACCACACTGAGAATAGTGAACTAGATTTGAACAAGAATCGCCGAAAGGCGATTTTTAACTGGGCTGCAAACGGGCTATTTTTTCTGAGGGGACGGGGCGGCTATACACACTCAGGCTACCATAAAACCTTGTCGGCAACCATTGCATGCAACAGAATCTCATGTGAGACTGAAACATAAACTCATTCAGAACATTGTACCCTTTTGAAAGACTTTCGCAACCCAAAAAAAGAGTACCATTTTTAAGTGGGGGCTGTATAATAACTTTTAAATTCCACCATTATGAATAAAAATAAACAAGTTAGCCATTAATTCTAAACAGGAAACAATTTGCATTATTTCCACGCACCCCTCCCCCAATCCCCCTGTGCCCCAAAATATAGCGTGACAGTATAACGTGACTAATTTGACGTAACCGGAAATTCCAAAAATTGTTCTCCTTCTACGAGCATAAAATGCGACAGACTGAGCTGATTTACACTAGACAGAAATATTGTATTGTATGAAAACCAGAAGTATACTAAAACAGACAGTTAACTGCCCGTTGATCCCGCCTGATCCAGGGGCCTCACTGACTGCAGGGAGACTTTACTGCGCTTTTCACAAACATGCGAACTCTAAAGTTCAAAAGCCACCTTCACAATTGTGTTTATCGCTGCCGTCAATCATAATTACGATCACAAGCAACGAACCTTGAAACAGAGAAACACACAAAACGGATCGAAATCCACAAATCACAAACCATTACCTTTTGAACCCGTGAAGTAAAGTTTTGTTTCCTAAGAGGTCCGTTAAGATGATTGACAGCAGCGAAAAACGCAATCGTCGGTTGGGTTCTGAACTCCAGGGGCGCTTTCCATTTAGTCAAAATTTCCGGAAAAATTCCCAGAAAAAGTGGAAAATCTAAAAAGGTGGTCCCGTTTTCCCGGTTGGAATTTCCGAACGGAATGTCGTGTTCCATTGACGTTTCTTGTAGTTTGTACCAGTTCCAGGTCCATGGTCGGGCACCCGGCCACGTACTGGGGTTTACGACCAAATGGAACAACTTTTTATCGATCGGAAATTCCACTTTTGCTACCACCGAAATTTCCGGGTTTTTTTCGTAAATGGAAAGCGCCCCAGAATTCGCAGGTTTGTGAAAAGTGCGATCCTAATTTGCGGTCCTCAGTCTCATAGGCGCACGGGGAATTTTTTGCCAGGGGGGGCGGTAAACCATTTGCCCAAAAAATTCTTGCAAGTTGCCCAAATTTTTACAAAACAGACGAACAGAAACGAGGGCCATACGATGCAACAACATAGGCGGTACTAGTATATGAAAGTGGCTCGATACAGTTTTTCAGGGTCAATACCTGTGAAGTTTTTTTTGAGCATAAACTACGACACCATAAACAAACAGTTGGAAAAATTGCCACTACAGTTGTATTAGATAAAGATGAAAATTTGTTATGATCCGGGTTGCAATAACATCGGAGTTCACGGAAGCATTTTCCTCCAATAGTCGCCTCTATGTTCGTGAAGTTAAAACGGAATCTGTAAGAGCGTTGCGGAGATATTTTGGGATAAAGTTTTTATCGTTAGAACTACGGTAAAAAAGGAAAATCTTGATGTTTGGCCGTTATCTGTAGAAAACAAAGTGCCTTTGACATGCAATTTCACCTCATAGTAGTTTCAGTCGTTTTAAAAACGTTGGTAAAAGATCATGGAGATAGCTCTGGCCAAAAAAGGATTTGAGTATTTAGTATGTATCATGGCGCTCTTGGTAGCGGTTTTGTAAACATTTTGGTCTACTTTAACAAATTAGTGAATAATTTTTAAACCACTCGATAGATTTTTTTAAAAAAAATTACGATTCTTCGCGTAATTCAAACTGAGAATTGGTCGGCCACTTCTTCACTTTCAGACCCATTGCTGATGCTATCTGCCATACACTGTTCTACGAGCGGAGATGATTCTAGAAAGTTAGGCGGAAGTTTATCCTAATCAATTCACGACTGGAAATAGCCCATTGCAGCACATGATACCCTTCCCTTATAACCAGAAACTCATTACGTGCTAGGCAACCACTGTCTCGTGTGAATGTAACAGTACTGGATTATTACGCCAACTTCAGGTTAAAATAGAAAATATTTATCTCCTCAAAATAATGATTTAAAAAACACGGAAACGTGTTAAAAAACTGGTTTTGCCCAAATTTTCTCTCGCTGCCCAAAAAATCTGAGTTGCCCAAAGTTTGGGGGGGCTGCAGCCCCCCTCGCCCCCCCGGCCCGTACGCCTATGCTCAGTCTACATGAAAACGCACTATTTTTTCCACAAGATGAAAAGTATTCAGTTTTAAGATTTTCCTCACGGTATTTTTCTCTAACTTAAAGGAATAAAATCTTTTGCATTTTGAGACCTAAAAAAGTTTGTTGCGTTCACCAGCACGCACTTCAAACAATGTAAATAGATGAAACGATCGATAGTGTATTTTTTACCTGATACCGATGTGAGTTAAAAATTCGCCCCAGTTCTGTTTGTCTCACCCAAGACTAACTTTTCTTCATGGAAACTATGCCGCTTTATAACTCGTCCAAGGTTTTTGTGCCAGCTAATCAATATGGAAACACTATTCACAGTGACTCCTTGGATATTTATGCCTTTGTTTACTTCTGATCACATCTTCAAGCGAAGTCTCTCTTTTCAAGCGATTCATCTCAACGCACAATAATTGACCCTTATATTAGTTAAAATCCTATGCTGTTTTTGCCCCTCACATTGACTGTGTTCGTTCGTATTCAAAACACCTTTACGAAAATAAAGGTCGTATAAGTCATGTGTGTTATGTTTCGAGATAAATGGATTATACGCTTTTTTTAAGTTTCCATTTTGCGGTGACTTCAGTTTACATCTCCATAAAATGGTAAAAGAAATATCAAGAAACATCACGAGAGCTGAAAATTTTCAAAGGCATGTTTCTGAAACTCGCTAATGCTGACATCAATATAGCGTGCTTGCTGAATGGGCGAAAACACAGAATTGTGATCACAAGATCTTGTACAAATTTAATGACAAAAGCTTAGCAAGATACAGATACAAACAAAAGCAAACCCCCGGAAACCTCGACGTGGGCTACACTTGTATGCTCTACTCAGTCACCAAACCTTGTCAGTCGCTCTCCGTGAAGCTCCCGGATGGGATGTCCCGGAGAAGCTTTAAACTTGTGTGCGAAATTCTCCGAGTTCCTATTTTTGTCCGTGTCTTCTTTATCCTCAGTATCCGAAATTTAGATCTCCAAAGTGGCGTGTGTTGCATTAAATAGAAGGAAATATTTAAAGGAAAAGCCAGTCTTCTAACATGGCAAAGTTGTCACGTCCCTCGCTTATGGACGTGCCTCACATCAGGATTCATCTGCCATTCATCGGCAACTGAGTTGTTCGCTTCACTGACTATGACGGCTTACAATCAAGTCTTCAGCCATAGTGTCGTCAACTGGTGAAATACTTTGCTCATAAATTGTGCTTCTTAATTGCTCATGTACTACATCGATCGATAGTTCACGAAGCAGCCACGGCGTTCCAAACCTGACGCTCACAGTCATCTTTTCAGTCTTTTAGTGTGAACCTACCGTGAACGGCGTGTCGGTTTGAATGCAACGCGAGCATTTCTCTGAGTTTCCCAGCGCCAACATCATCTAACTGACTTAAACTCGAACAATAAAAAAATTATAGAGTTACTCCCATGGTCGAATAGCTTCGAACAACGCAAATAGCCTTCTTCATGTTTGCAATGCCTTGTGGGTTTTTCAGGGGGAGCGCAGACAAGGTACAAAAAGTATCCCTGCAAGGGTTCATGCAAGAGAAAACCCTATGAAACTATTTGTGAGAACATCGTTTCTACGTACCAGACCCTCGTGTTTTCCCTCCCCCGGATGACCACTTTGTGACACCGACGACCGAAAACCCATTTTATGACTGGGCTTGCCGGGCACCCCAGTAATAAGAGAGCAAACACGAAATGAATTCTACCAAGACGTTACGGAGCGTACACTTCGGCGTGGTGGAACTGATTAATTGTAAATGCGGAGGAATAGTAAGAAATGAAATATGGTAAGAGTAGGTGTTAATTTGTGAAATTATGGGATTTGTCAGGATATTCTGAAAAGAGCAACATCCAAGAGGCCTACTTGCCAAAAACTAGCATTTCGGGACAAATTGTCTCTGAGATATTAGCTCAGTTATGCTCTGATGACTCCATACAAATCTTTCTAAATTTGACTTGGGTCTAAACGTTCAGACCTAAGTCAAATATGAGGTTACTGGCGGTGAATAACAAGTCTAACAAAACAAACAGTGAAAACAGAATTCTCTATTTTCCTTAGTCACATCAGGCTACAAAAATAGCATTGCAGTCTCATGTACTGATTAAAGATAAGTAAGGCATGGGTAAGGAGTCAATTACATTGAGCATGGAATTTGCTAAAACTCAATGTTACGAGTTCGAATGTTTTGAGGATAATTATTCACTGACTATCAGCAAGCAGGGATGTCGGATTAACACAAGGAAGTTTAATACCAGAGGAACATAGCCTTTACAGAGCTTTAAAACACAGTATCCGCCAACACAAACTTGACTTGAACTTAAGTAAAACTAAACACTCTCTGTCAATAATAACAAACTCTCAAATTGAACTTCAGATATCTTACGGCGTCCGCCAACTTGTAAACACAGAACATGAAAATCGACCTTCGTCACACTTGACTAAACACAGCAGTCCAGCTCGTGGGAAAAAACTTAGTTCGTCAAAAGAACTCGCTTGGAACTTGTATACTGTTTGAAATAAGGTTCTAGAAAATACTAAACAGGTGAATAGTGGTAGCTTTTCGACATATTTTATGATTTCAGTAACTGAAGCAAATCTGCTGACTCATGCTGAAATGTAAGCATGCCCTAATTAATTATTCATGAATCATCCAAAAACGTAGAGAACATTCGAGAAAGTCACGCAACACATGAAAGCAATTTTACTACGTAACACTCAACAAAGACAAGATGTCTTTGTGCACCATCTTGTAACTTTAAATTCATCATAAAACAGTTCGAAAGGAGGGCTCACTCGTGAAATGTTTTTCAACACTCGAAGAGAAATTTCGTGTCTCTGTGCGGCCACGTAATATCCTTTATTTATTCCTCGAGTAAATTAAAGACTAAACTCGAAGTGATCTCAAGAAATCACGAAGTAGTCCGGTCTCATTTCGTGATATAGCCGAAACAAGCCGAAAAGTCATGAACTTGCACGCCCAATCTTGTCTCGAAACTAGTGCATCATTTCATAAATAATTTTCGTACTCCGAATTTTTAGCGCAATCGGCTAATCCCTCAACTTGATCTGACGGGTGGTACAGGTGAGTCGGTTCAAACCCCAGGAAAGCCAAAAAATTATTCTTTCTTCCCCAAAAAAGTTAAAGAATAAATCAAAGAAATCGAAGTAATCTCGAGATATCTCGAACTAATTCGGCTCTCACTTCGTCAAATACCCGAATAAAACCGAAAACCTACAGACTTTGCGTGCCCAATCTTGTCAAAAAAAGTCAACTTTGATACATTCCTGAGCATCGCGAATCCTTTACTTCGCGCTCCGACGAAGTAATAATGTCGGTTTCAAATTATCGACGTCATACTAGAAATAGCCTCTTCTATCGCTACTTGTAATCTTCATTACCTGGAATAATAAATCTTACCAAGGGAAAAGCGTGCTGTGGAAATCTTTATATAATAGAGTGTTACAATCACAACCTATATAATCATTTTAAGATTCTTCTCACTCTACTCTTTCTCAGATGGTTCCTTTTTCACCATGGGAAAGTCAGTCTTATTATTTTTCCCTGTTGCAGATTTTTCCAACGCGTACTTTTTGAAGCAGTGTAAGAAATCATATTTTAAAGGTATCATTTCCTTCTCAAACAAATACTTCAGCGAGTACGACACAACGACGATGGTTGTAAAAGACACGATCATGGCTAGGGTGCGAAACGGGAATAGCTGCCCATCGGTTTCGTTGTAATAGGGGTATTTAATAAAAGGTTTTAAGCCAATATTTTTCTCCCCTCCCCCAACGCGAAGTATCAGCCCTAAAATGTACCCCATGAAAGACCCATAGGTGTTGGCGCCAGGAAGGTAGATCACACAACACAACTGCGGAAACAGGATAACGTAGACCAAGTCACTGCACAATGCAAATAAACTGTAGATTGAATTCACCAACAGGGACAATGACGTCGCAAGCACGGCAACCCCAACTATGGCAATACGTATCACCCACACGACTTCTCTATCAGAGGCCTGAAAAAAAAATTGAACTTAGTCCAGAACTGAATAATAGAACGCCAGGAGCCCATAACCTGGAGCGAGCAACTTCCACGTACTCTTGTCACGGCGTTTTCACGGACCAGTTTATTTTTAGAACGGTTTTGGCGCGACTTTAGAATATCTTTTAAGTCCCACAAACCAGTCAGCAAAACCTACATACCTGAAAATGATAATTTGTTCGTTTTAATGACGTTACGTTTTCCTTTAAGATATCTTATATTTCGACTGCGTTGAAAGTCGTGGCGGAGATTCCATTTTCGCGGGAAAAATTGCCCTAAAATGTGTCTAAAAATAATGAACCAGTCCGTAAAACGCTGTGACATAAGCGTATTATGGACGTTGCTCGCTCCGGATTATAGGCTCCTGAGAACGTTTATTGGATGCCCATCACTGAACCAGCAACTCAAAAATTAAGTGTTTTTAATAGTAATATCCCAGGTCTGAAATATCTCTGCTTTTCCCTCATCTTGCTTTTAGCCAAGTAAAGTAAGCATCGTCCATAAACACGATAAAACATCGCAACTATGAGCAAGGCACATAGGTCTGAAATATCTCTGCTCTCCCCTTCACTCCTCTTATCTTTGTTTAGCTAACTAAGGTAAACATCGTTCAAAAAACACAATAAATGAAAGACGCAATTAAGGGCGTGGCACCTAACTGAACAGTACTTTCACAGGAACTCAAAGTCACAAGTGCCTCGCTCTACCTCTTTCATAGTTTATCGGTCTGTCGGGGCAAATCACTGAGACTTCGGGTATTTTGCTTGCCGGTAGAGAAGAAGATAACCTCTGTATCTGAATATCCTTAAAAATCAGGAGCCCATCAAATGGAGCCTCCATCTCCCATACAAGCCCTTGGAGTCAACCCTTTCTCGAGTAGATTTATAATTAGAACGGTTCCCAGGGGAGACTTCGCGCGCCGACGGTGGGAAGAGCCAATCACAACGACGTAATGACACTGCTATTGTACTTTCTCAAACAGCAGGAAATTCGGTGTTGACAGGCCAAACACAATCATAAGCTAGTGAAACGTGACTTTAGCGTTTTCATCCCTCAGAGATTTTCTTTCTTTTCTTTCTAGCTGGTAGATTATACTGTGGAGAGTTTTAAACTCTTACTATGTTAATCTTAAGTTTGGTTACTTGTCTCACATTAAGAGGCCATAAAGGTGGTCTGTTACATGCGTAATGATTAACTACTACCTGCAGTCTGTGGTTCTGACAGGATTCGTTTTCTTTAGCCAATTTTTTTGAGCGTTAAGGTTCCTATGTCGGCTAAATGACTCAATATTAATCAAATTTCTAGTTTTTCAAGTTTTTTTTTTCCAAAATGCCTTTATCTGAATAAATACTTGTAGTCCTTGTGGTTTTTTTGCCCGTCAGCTAGTGTGATGATTCCCTGCTATGTTTTGTAACGCCGGGCCCAGCCATTGTTTCTCGCAAAAAAGTGATCTACAGCCGGGCGAATTCGAAGGAAAGAATTGGCCTAAACTTCTACATTAATTGCTGAGAATTGTCTTGTTAGTCAGTCATAATTCCAGTTTGGCGCAGATACAATCCATTTTGTTTTTCTTGAGATAAGAGGGTATTTGGACTGGAGCGCGATGTCACAAATTCCTCGTTAGCAAATTACTTTTGAGTTAGCTTCACGGTCGAGCAACTGTTGTCTTCTGTTCAACTTTTCAAGTGCCTGTTTTATCAGGCAACTTTCACGGTGATACAAGTCAGTTGTAAAGGAAGACTGCAATTTCTCAAATTTCGGAACTGAAGCATTCCTCCTTAGTTGTTAGATAGGTCATCGCTTTTGCACGCGGTGCTTAACTGGCGAAATCCACTCCACGGTGATGACAAAAATCAAATGATCATGCCCTGGCACTTTTTCTGCGCTGATCATCGAAAAGTTCCAAATCGTCCACAGAACGCTTAATATTGGTCGACTCTTTTCAAGGTGCATGTTTAAATATGGGATGCATGACGGCAAAAAAAAAAAAAACTCGCAAAGATAACCTTTCCTTGATCCTCAGTTCGCTGCCTTTGTCCCATCGCTTCATGCTCAGTCAGCGGGTAATTCATTAACTTATATTTCATGATACCCAGATCCCAACGTTTGTAAAATTGTAAAAATAGTATAGTAAAAAAGGAAAACGGTCGAAGGATGGGCCTTTGGGTTCGACTTCATCCAACTTCATTTTTTCACGGTGACATACGAGACTCACGGAAATATGACGCTTTTCGTTCGCGGGAAACAAGCCGTTCTATTTATAAATCTACTCGGGAAAGGGTTGACTCAAGAAATTAATGGAGATGGAGGCTCCATTTGATGGGCTCCTGTTAAAAATATATATTTTCTTGGTGCTAATACACCAGTTTATGGAACAAACTACAAGTTGTTTACAAAAAATATATCTCACGTTTTGTCGGAAGATAAGTTTGTAAATGTTATGAGAAAACATTGAGCTGGCTGATACAAAACTGGAATCAGTAGAAGACATGACAGCAGCGGCCACAGCGCCCAGACCCACAAACGACACAGGTGTTGGAGTGAGATACTGAAGCACCATGGGAAGGATCATCGCCTTGTCAAAGGTGACAGTCGCACTCTGATTGGTGACATTGCCTTCAGGTGGTGTATAAAAAGATGTCTTTTTCCAGTCTAGTGTGAAGAAAACAGAAACTTCAAGATGACAGGAAACTTATCTACATTGTTTTCATACAAGTATGGTGGCGAAAATGATAAATCTTAATACCCGAAAGAAAAGAAAGAGAGGAAGCAAAATCTTAGCATTGTTGAAATAAATAAGTCCAAGCCTGGATAATGGCAAAGAAACAGATGGACTTAAACCAAACGTAGGAAAATCAGCTTAGCCTGCGATCATATCCTCTGTGCTTACATCTCTATCTAAAAAAAACATATCCCAGGTTAAGGTTAAACCACAATTGCTGACCAAACTAATTGGGACACTTTGTCCTCATCCCGTCACCATTCGAGCTTGCCTACGGTGATGGCCCTTAAGAAATTTAAAAATATTAATTTATATCGTCCTGCATTTTGGGGTCTTCTAGGGGAGTGCCGGCTAGCCTGCAAACCGCAGACGTATTTCCGGTCGTCGCTTCTCTCCCTCCGGTTTTTCTCCGCGGGTGAAACTAGAGCCCAAAAAACCGGATGCCCTCGCAGGTTAAAGGCAACCCCAGTAAGGTGCAGATCTGTCTAAGACTGCATTCTGAACGTACTTTACCTGTCTTGACGCCAACAGCCCCGATTAGGACAGCCGGTATGGGCATCAGAAGGCAACATAACGAGGCTACAAAAGAGACAATTTGGGCCTTGCGTGGGGTCTTGCAAGCCAAAGCTCGCTGAAAATAAACTTGCCATGGTATACCACCAAACATCTACACAGAAAACAAAATCTTCATCAATGTTTGCGTTATCTAAATTATAAACAGTGAAACTAAGTGAGATCCCAAGTCTTGGGTAACTCGACTACACACTTCTCTATTTCCTCCAGTTGAGAAATTTTGGCTTTTTTGGTTACAACATGCAATAACAAGCTCTTCAAAATGTTTCGCACGGAGCGGGTGTATTCCCTAATATTGCATATACGGGGATGTTCCACCGGACAGGGTATGGTTTTTTACCTCTCTTCTGACCGGGTATATAGTTTCACGCCAGTCTGTGCTAAACAGGGTATACAATTTCGTGCGAGTTTGTCCTTATCACTATCCCCCGGTAGAAAATATCGTTATCTCCTGAAAACACGCTGCAACATTGCACACATAGCCTTATTTGCTTATTCACTCTTTTTGTTCTACGCAATATTTCACTAATATATTGCATCAGTAAAATCTTTTTGCTGGAATTAAAGACCCAGTAGATAAAATGGAAGGCGAAGGATGAGGAACTCAATGGGGTGGTAGATTTGACCGGTGACGGTATAGACTGCCAAACACTCCTTATTTTTGCGTCTTCAAATACGCGCGAGCAGTCAAACAAAAGGTCTGTAACGAGGCTGAAAACAGAGAGCGAGATTGAGGAGATACGCTAAAATAAGATTGACACGCTCGGCGTGTTAGGCTCTCGCGTATCGCGCGCGTAAGATTCTTAAGCCACGTTTTACCAATTTCTTTACTGATTTTGAGAAAAACACCGACTGTTTTGCAGTCTAGTGACGGTGAATTTTTTCCACCCATCTCTAGACCGCCTGCATGAAGTAATTGTGTTAGGAATTTGGAATTTTGGAAGGATTTTTATAAATTTACGGTTAGCGCTTTTATTCGCCAAAATGACTTTGAAACCGGAGAATAACTACCTCAACTTTGGTCAATAATTGTTAAATACCAATATTGATCAATATATATTGTCACCGATTGGAAAAGTCGTAGTTCGTAATCAGAGCGATCCATTTTGTTGGTGTCATATTTTCTAACTGGAGGAGAAGAATGTCATTCATTACACTGGAGCATTGTTAAAAGAGGGTGGAGTATGTTTTTAGTTCTCATCCTTTTTCCATGAAGTATTTTCCACGAGTACTCCTACTTTCCCTTCTACTTAAAGCAACTTCGATTCTTGAGAGCTTCTATTAAAGCGCTTTGGGTTCTTAATCGATAAGTTAAATTTACTTTTTGTCACTTCCCAGGGACCACGTATTTGTTATCACTAGGTTTAACTAACAATTAACCTGAAGTATAAAAAGGGCTTCATGACTTACATATAATGGAGTCCAAGCAGTCATACGTGCTTTACGCTGTTTTCGTTTCGACACTATCGGAGAAGTATTGTGGTGGAAACAAAATTTAAAGAAGGATGGGGCAAAATATCGTCCTAATTATGTAGTTAGAAAAATCAAATCAGAAACAAAATCTGTATTTACCAATAAAAGTGCGTAGTCCATCCAAGGGCCTAATTGCTTGACGGAAAGCTCTCCCACCCATTCCTTTGAATCAACACTAATGCTGCCTACTGCTGGATTTGTCATTGCAAATGGAACACTGATCCACTAAAGAAGAAAGAACAGTACAGGAAACTTAAAAGGACACAACGAGAGCATTGTACAGGATAAATCTAAACTGGTGTCAAATGCCATAAAGATCATTATCTTATATACTTCCAGTCCAACGAAGATGCAGATGAGTTGAATGATATCAGTGTAAACCACAGAATAGAACCCACCAATCAGCGTGTAGAAAACGGAGATACATGCAGAGACAATGACTGAGGTCACACGATCTAAGTTCACTACGACGCTTACAGTGGCGCCAAGGGCGGCAAGAATGGCCGCAGACCAAAATATCTCTCCAAGCAGCGCAGGAATGAACAACAGACCACCCATGCGAGGCCCGTACTTCTCTTGGAATGGATCGAGCATAGTGAAATACTCTCTTTTGCGCATAATCTTAGCAAAGGCCAGTCCACCTGAAAGACAAGAAGCCGCAGTATGCAACAGGGAGCCCATCCTCCAATGGCGGATTAATGGGGATTACCCAGACTGGTCTCAAAAATCCTGAGAGCCTGAAGAAGGCAAGGCTTAGATAAGTGTCGCCCCTCCTTCCCCGGGATTGGTCTTATTTCAAGGCCGGGATCGGGACCTAAGCGGGGGAAAAATTCGAGATTAAAAGTATGCGCGGGATGTGGGATGGCAAAAATAACCCTCAGGATTACGAGATTGAGCAATAATTTGGGTCGGGATGATAGGATTGACTGACGAACCCTTTTGGAGACCGTCCTTCATCTTTCGCTTGAAAGAGCTCTCGGCTAATCTATTTGTTGGATGGCTCGAATGGAGGTCAGGATCACTTCTTTATTTATATCAAACAAGACATCATTTAATAATGTCGGTGCTATAACATCAGCGTACTCCAAATAAATGTGGCAATGTTCAGTCAAGATTACCAAGAAACCAAACGAACACTAAAGTAAAACCACAGAAAGCTCAATGGATCTCGCTACTCACCTAAGCCAAGACTTAATGCGTATCCCCAGGGGGCCTGGGCAAACGCTAGACCCTCAGAATAGACAACTTCCGCTGTACCGTTAATGAACCCCCCTCCGACCCAGGTTGCTATGGAAAAACGGAAAAACGTCAGTTAAAGTTTCCTAATTCTTAAAATAATAAAACGCGTGCTTCGGGAGAGCTTATACAGAACAGTGGTTATTTATGTGAGGGAATTCAGGAAGAGGGCGTGGGCATGCGTGGAATGCCAGACACGTTCAATGGAAGGGAGGGGAAAAAAAATTTCGTCCAAACGACGTGGCGCTCATGAAAAAGAGGTTTTCTAATCGAATATGGGGTTGAGGATAACTTAAACTTTATTTGGCTCAATGTTGCCCATGAAGGAACTCTGCAAGTACATAGAAGTCGTTGAAACTAGAACAGACTAAAGAAGAAGAGGCTTCGCTAAAAGTAGAGAAGGTGATTAGCCTGTGAGGTTCTAACCTGCAGAACAGGCACTGTTTTTTTTTCGCGTTCTTCAGGTGAACGTAAAGAGGACGTGGAGCCGAAAAATAACCGCACCTTTCCCCGCGTGTCTCGCGTTCCACACATGGTTTGTGTTCACCTGAAAACCGCAACAAAATAGCACCTGATCTGCAGCCTAATGAGGTGCCTATTTGGTAGTTTGGCAGGAGTGTCAGGTGCTCGAATAGTGGCCAGTTGGAAAATCAGAACTGGACTCTGGACTGGACTGGACTAGACTGGCCCTCATTCGAGAGCTGAGGGCAGGCAAAAGAGTTGAGTGGTTGAGGAAAGACGCTATCTTTCTTTCTGAATATGGCTTTTAATCTAAGAACATGAAAAACACGAATATCTCTAACCCCGCAGAGAAATAGGTATCGGATACTAATCACGAAAAAATTGAAGAACTTAAACTAGTTTCTCTGGAAACTATCATTTCTCATAATATTTTTTCATATATTCACAACTATCATTTTTTCGTTCGTGAAGTATCTCAATCGAATCTCAAACACGACTCGTGTTTCATTCAAAATTGAAACACCTTAAGGTCGGTCAAAAAACAACTTAGTTGCGCCATTTTTAGCGATGCCTGAATGTGGGTTAAATATACTGTCTCGTCATTTTGACATATGATAAAGCACTCTAACTCGTGTTTTGTTTACTACTTCCAGGCGTCAAGAAGTTTCGTAATTGGCCTTCGAAATCAATGGACTTTACAGAACAATCGAGTGTGCTAGAAAAAAAGTAAAATTATCGTACTTTAAAATACTATATTAGTGAAATGATTAAAAGTAAAAGTTGTAATAATACGTTCCAGAAGTGTCTGACGCCTTAAATTTTTTTGTAACCAAGAGGTGTGTGTATTACTAAACTCAGTAGACCATGCAAAAGACCACTTCACACAGACTGAAAAGCAACGTTGGCATTCCACTTTCTGCTCGTACAAAGAGTCTTTGGTTGAATCAAGCCTACTTAAACTTTCAGACCGCCGCCAGGAACTTGTAGACAAACTATTTAAGGCCGTTGTACAGAACAAAGAGAATAAGCTCCACGGCCTTCTCCCTGCTCTTAATACCTCTAGGTCGAACCTAAGAAACACACGGAAATTTAAGGCCCGTTTTCAAGACGAACAGATTCTGTAATAGTTTTATTACGTACAACCCTCTAAAAGCTTAACTGTACTCCCTATCTATAGTTTTAGAAGATTCGACTACTTTTTACCATGTCCAATTTTTTATTTATTTTATCCTTTTTTTACCAAATCACAGTTTTACTGTAGAGTATTCACGTATTGTTTCTATTAGCTTATTAGTGGTTGTATTTTTTAAGTAATCATAATTATTTGTAAATAATCGCCTAATTCAACCTCACGGTTGCGATATGCTTATAAATAAACTATCTATCTATCTAACAACAACAACAAATATAATAGAGGACTTTAGACTTTGTGGCTGTACGCCAACGGTCTCGTGCTAAGGTCAAGAGCGCACACACTTTTGCTCGCTGCTCCACGTGAAAAAAGGCTTTTGTAGTCAAAACGATAATCGAAGATAAAGCGTCAGTCAAATCATTCCGGCTCCATTTCAAGTATTTTTTTAAGCATCATTTAAAATCATTCCGGCTCCATTGAAGTTGAGGTTTTATTATCGCTTGAATTTTACTTTAGCTTTGACAGTGAGAAGTGCTTTACCTGTCAGAGTAAATATACCAACATACGTTCCAATACTTCGACCAGCTAACATTGCTTCTTCTTCACCTGCCTTGCGCCGTCGACTGGCCCAAATGCCGACAGCAAGAATTAAAAGATAAAAAACAACGATACCCACAATACCAGGGATGTTTACCTCAGCCATTTGGAATGATCAACTTCCTTATAGGTTAACGAAATGCAAAGGGAGACTGGAAGGCAATTTTCTGAAATATAAAAAAGTCATAAAACTAGATAAGTAATTAATAAATGGTGGAATATATATGGCTTCTTTTTGGGGGGTCACATAATTGTGTTAACGGTGAAGCTATCCATTCAGCTACCTGCTATATTATATGGGGATCGAAACAATAATCCTCTGATCCCCTTATTTTCAGGCAAAAATATTGACCGGTCTCTTTATATGTTTTTAAGTTATGTAACGGTATAAAATTTCAGAAAACCCGTAAACAGATCAAAGTGACAAAAAAACATACGTATTACCTTTTTCAGTGCATGTTGTTGCATACGTATTGACTGATATTTTGAAGGAACTACAGTATCACATTAAACTAAATTCGATTTTGAGGCAACATCAAATATGGCTTTATAAAAACGAACTTATCATATGTCGAGGAAAACGAATACGAATACTAACTTTGAAGTTCCGAACTCTAAATCTATCCTTTTGCTGACTAGCACATAAGTAACCATTAGGAAATAATGTGTATGTAGCTAGCTGAGGCACCCAAGGCAACTTCGTTTGGATGGTGTCGCCGAAAACGGAATATGTTCTCTCCCAGCGCCGTCATTATGAAGTCATTAAGGAGCGTCAAAATCGAATTTGGTATTTTTCATCGCGATTTAACTGTTTTTCCAGAAAGAAAATAAGGCAAAACTTTATAGTAACGGTTGGTTTAAAATATATAACTCCTTGTTAGTCACGAAGCGTTGTACAAGGCCGGAGTTTTGTGTAATAAGGAAAATATTCCTAATATTCCTAATACAAGATTATATAGTGGAACTAAAGCTGCAGGTCATTTTAGCCTCAACGTTCCAGCAAAAAAAAGGCATTTTGAAAATAATATACACGATCGTTTTTCACTGTTGGTAGTGGAATTACAAATGAAAACAGCTTTGAGAAAAACTGAAAGACACTAGTACTCTCTAGAATTGGGAGAGTTGAGAACGTACCTTTACAAATGCCAAGCTCCAACTACAGTGATTATTAGCTAGTTTGACGCCTACTAAGAGAGCTAGTGCATGAATGATGAATGACACGATTATTAAGTGCAAGAGGTTTACCTAATTAGGTTTTTCTTAACAAGTGATCAAAGATCACTAATTTAGTGAGAGAGCTATGTTACAACTGATTATGAATAGTCAATGGTACGAAGGTCACTGAGTGCTCAAGGCGCGTTTGTAAACAAAGTAGCATCGGAGAGTAAGATCCTGATGGTGAAAAAAAAAATTAAAACAAACAATGAACGCGACTTGATCAATAATAAGTGATCATAGTCACGCTTTAAAAGCGATGGGATCTTAGCATGTCCTTTTCAATTTTTCCGGACACTTGCACATGAAATTTCTTATTTTGAAATAATTCCGCAGTTCATTTAATGCGATAATCACGAGTTCAAATATGTTTGCGAATCCACAAAGAACATTTTTTCATCAGATTCCTATTATTCAATATCAGTGACCACTTTAGCCTGAACCTTGCTTGTAGTAGAAGTGCTCATGAAGTCTGAAAAAAGTTAGCGACTTAATCATTTTTTCAGACTGCCATGATTTCGAGTTGTAGGATTCATAACAAGACAGCTTTCTTTTGGAGTAAGCTGTGGAGAAGAGATCAGAAATGAGCGGAGAGTGGCGGTTAAGGCAACAGACCGTTCTCCTCACTGTTCTAATAACTTCAAGCACAAGCCAGACACTCATGAAAAACGCGTTGTCGTTATCACAATCATACATTTTGTTTAATCATTAAATATTTTTCTTCCAGCCATTTAAAAAGAAAACTCAAGGTCTTGTTATTTCACTAAAAAAGTAGCCTAACCCTAATCACTGTGGACGAGAATGGGCCAATTACATACTGACACGACTGGCGTTGCACGATTCTAGCAATGCGCGCGCAGGCCAGATCAGGTAACAGTGGCGACTTGAACAGACATCTTGCAACCTGACACTAGGAGAGCATTTTCAAGACATCATATGAATACGTCGCGAAGCGGAAGAAGATGAGAAAGCTTAAACTGCAACTAGGTTAACAAATAAATATGACAGAACACACAATAATATTGAATGTTCTCTGACTAAATTCGCTTGATGATAATCTGACACGATTTTGATTTTTAAATTCCAAAAATAGCTTTCACCGAATGTGTAGCTTAAATTTCCTCCATATCTATCACACTGAGTCAAACTCACGGTCAAGAATGCTTATAAATTTTCTTCTACCAAAAAATCTGAGAACGCTTCTGACACTTTTGGGTAGCGCTTGGTTCGTCATGTAACATCTACTTAATGAGCAATAATTTGTAAATGACTGCCGTAGAGTGTGAAACAAAAGCCAGAGGGGCATCTGCTCTCGCAGGCTGAATCTACTTTTGCAAAATTTGCCCCAAAAATACTTTCATGAATGTGACGGTCATTCACCATGATTCACTTGCCCAAGGTACATTAATCCTGCCAAAAACTTAGAGGCCGAGGTTTGGATTACACGAACTGTTTTGAGTGATTGTCGTCAAACTGAATTTTAGGGACGGACCATTAGAAAAGCTGGGGGTGGGGGGTTTTGGCTCGCAAGAATTTTTTTCTGGCAGATTGCCCGTGTAAGAATAATTTTTTTGAGTGCAGCCCTTTGAAGCCATTTTTTATCGGAAAATTTGCTTCATACCTTTTGGCCATATTAAATTAATAGCCCCTATGCATGATTACGTCAGACGAGTAAATTTCACCAACAAGCCTCGTTTGTGAACAAAATTTTTTGCATTTGCACTTTTTGTGCGTGGGTATTCTTTTCAACTCTACTGCCTTGGGAATTCATTTCTGTGAAACTTCACTTATTTTTAATTTCAAAACGGGGCTTGGTGGTGAAATTTGCTTGTGTGACGTAAACATGCATAAGGGCTATTGTAAACGACACTGCTTTGTTTTATTAAATAGGCAGGTGCCCATGTACAGAGGTTGCACTTTAATGGGACTTCTACTATTACTAAATGGGACTTTTACAATTCAAGTTTACAGTTATGACTCACAATACTAATGTTTTTTATACGACTGTCCCAGACAACATGGCGCCTTTTTTTTTATGAAAATCGTATGCTGAGCAGCCTGCATTTCACAGGCCGTCAGAGTACTGTGTAAATCTTCGTATAACGTCTTACACAAAGCGTACTCATGTGCAATGTCTTGATAGAAACCCTGGTGTCCAGAAACTACAGGTTAAACTATACAACTGACTATAAGTTATAGTTATTTCTATCTGAGAGTGATTTATGAACGTTTTAAATGTGAGAAATGATCCGAAAACATAAGAAAATATCGAAAAATATAACATTTTCACTGCTATCAATGTCGCAGTTACCTTGGATTAGCATATGACGTAATGGCTAGCCTGGTCTAGCCTGCGAAAAGAGCCGTTTCTCCTCGCTCCTCGCGCCAAAGAGCGAGGAGAACAGCTGTTTTCGCAGGCTACGTAATGGCGGGCGGCCATGCACGTTTGCTAGGTCTCCCGCCAAATCGACACTAAATTGACAACATGCCTACAAAGGGGAGATGAGGGAGCTCCTAAGATAGAACTAGAAATTGAAAAGATTAGCAAAACTCACGACGATTTACAGACGACAGTACCATTTCTATCAAACAAATACGACGACCTTTTTAGTCAATACGGATTTCGTAACTGACAAGCTTTATCATACTTTATCACCAAAGTAACATTATCGAAAGCCTCAGGAAAGACCTTGATGAGTCTAGGAAGATTGCGAACGAAGCACACATGCAAACAGAAGAGCTGGCTCAGTACATCCGACGTGATTACCTCGAAATCTCAGGAATAGCCCCGAACGAGGAGCTCTCATGTGAAGGCGTCGTAAGATCGGTTGGAAACGCCATTGACGTGTCCGTTAGCGATATGGACATCTCAGTTTCGCATCCTATTCCCAGTTTCAATACTAAGGCTCCATCAAAGATAATTGTAAAACTTACAAGACGGGAAATCTGTGATCGATTTTACTATAACCGCAAGAACTCAAGAAGCGTGCGAGGAAACAGATCAAGGACATCCCTGGTCTTGCACTGATCTGATGGCCAAGGTCGTGTGTATCAAAAATTACCTCTTATCTCAACAACATTAACCCTTTAAGTCCCATTATATCCACATACAAATTCTCCAAACTGATCTTTATACATTTCCCTTAAAGAATGAGTTGAGAGAATTTGATAAAAGATCAAAGCAAAGCAGTAGGTGTTCATTTTATAAATTCTCATAACCAAATCTCTTGACAATGTATGGATATCGTTAAGAGAAAATTGATCTTGGTCACTATTGGGACTTAAAGGGTTAAACGTTATCAGTTATTTTCCCTCAACTCTTCGTCTTTTTTTTTTTAATTCAATATTTATCCAGGGGGCATCTAGTTTAGCAGAGCTAGTTTAAATGGAGCCCTGACAGAACACAAAAACAAAGACAGTAAAACATTAAAATTAGACAATTAATTAAGTTAAGACAACATGTCACGCAGATGTTACTGTTTAAAGTGGCGCTTTAGCTTGATTTTGAATTCACTGAGGGTCTCTACTTGTCTAATGATTCACAGTAGGGTGTTGTAGGTCCGAGCACCGTTTATTCTGAAGCTACCTTGGTATTTGGTAGTTTTTGCGAAGGGAGGGCGCAGCAAATCACGACTTCTGGTGTTATAGCCATGGAAAAGGTGCGCGTGTCTAAACTCTGAAAGTAAGTACGAAGGCGCTATTCCGTGAAGACACTTATGGACTAAGACGAATTTGAGATACTTTCTGCGTGCTTGTAGGCTAGGCCAGCCAAGTGTTGATTTTTCCTGACCTCTTCTTTTGCAAATGCCGATCCCTCCTCTCGTGACGACTGATTTTGACTTAAATGAGATGGACGCTAACTAGATAACCTCGCGGTTTTATTAGCCTTCACGCACTACGGCTTTGTATCATTGTCACCTCGAAAAGTTATATATGCCTGTCTATTTAACAATTACCGTAAAATTCCGAAAATAACCCCTCCATGTATAAGCCCCTCCAAATATAAGCCCCCCAAACCGGTAACGCAAAAAACCCTCCGTTAAATCGCCCCTCCAAATATAAGCCCCCCGGGGGCTTGTACTTGGAAAATTGCCCTCAAATACAAAGTAAAACGAAGCAAAAACAGTAAACTTACTTCCAACTATAAGGCTAGCTCAATCGATTTTGAAACACAAATTTCCCTCCGTAGATAAGCCCCTTCGAATATAACCCCCTCCAAAAATAAGCCCCTGAAAAAGGGCCTTTGAAAAATATAAGCCCCGGGGCTTATTTTCGGAATTTTACGGTATTCCATGACATAATTGTTTTATCAATAACGGCCTCAAAATATTGAGAATTCTTCCCGACTTTACTTGTAAAAGCAACCGATTTTCAGACAGTTTTTAATTTTGAGCAGACATGTACAGTTACCATATTGGAGAGCACGCTATAATGGCTCATATACCATGACGGCTGAGCCAATCAGAGCTGTGGAATTGCATCATCCAATTATTCAGTTTTTAATAAAGTTTGTTATACTTGTTTTGGAATTGTATTCAGGACTAGTGCAAATAAAGCAAATAAAGCAATTCGCGTCAATGTCTAACTCCATTTTTTGGCCAGTTTGCAAATGTTTTTTACCTTCAAGCAGGGAGAAAGTTTACAGAAGTCGCTTGTAACACTCAAAAAGGTTTTAGAATCCACACTGAGATAATTTGGGGAAAAAATTCTTTTAAACAAAAAACTTTGCAAAAAATGATTTGCACACGCTATAGCACGAGCAAATGACAGCAAGAATAACAGCACTCACCTAACTTGTCTACTAACTGTTAACAAATTCAAAAGTATTTCTCATTTCATTGCGTCGTGAACTATTGAGTTATGGATTGCTGACTAAAGCTTTCAAGGACTCGAGGTTTTGGTTTCTTTGACGTCATTAGCGTGCTCAACGCTATTGAATATTTAATTAAGCGAATATCCTAGCTATGTTTAATATAACAACGCTTTGCAATTTGATGTAGCTGAGAACACTGGTAATAATACCAACAGGTGGAACTACCACACAATTCCCCCTTCTCATGACTGGAAAAAAATAGAATCAAATATTTATTCTTGAAATAAATTGACATGTTTATTCTGGCCGAAAGAACTCAAAGTGATCTCGTGACATCTGGAAAAGCCTCCGGTCTCACTCACTGAAAAAGCCGCATGAAGCTAAAACGTCAGGGACTTATATACCAGGTGACATAGACGTTAAACCTCAAAAAGGCATCAACTCCAGCTGTGGCAGGATTGCAAAATCGAGAGATAAAGCGCGGAGTCTTGGCATTGTAATACGGGGCAAAACAATCCAATGAATGATCGAGGATCCACATGCGTTCCAAGGTATTTAAAACACTCCTAGGTAAGTTGCAAATCATGGCAATCCTTGATTTCACTTACGAAATCAGCTTGAGTATTCGGTCACAATTAAGCTGATTAAGCGGTCGCGGTCACCTTTGTCGAGGTCCCAACGAGATCATTTTTATTGTCTTCTCCTCTATTTAACGGTCGCTTTTCTAGTGCAACATGCAGATACATTGTGTGTGGCGTTTAGTGGTCTTTTTCTTCCTTTCTTCTGGCTAAAGAAGAAGTAGAAATAATACTGTGAGGTCAATTTGTCGTTGGATATATTTTCGCTCTTTCATCATCTTTATTTTCTTTATTAACTCTTTGGTTTGCCAAACTTGTATCAAACGACGTCACACAAGAAGTGCATTCGTACTGCAGCAAACGTCGTCGCTCTTATTGTAACTAACGGTATTTTAATTTGTCTGAATGTGTTAGTTTTAAACTAAAAACAGGAGTATAATATGTTACATCGAACTGTATGGGACGCGCCGTCCGCCAGTTCGAAAAAGAATGAAGTTGAGTTGAAGAAGAGAAGAAGAGAGCATCACTAGGAGATAGGCTAGTATCATGAGTATGATGTGCCTTTCCATGAAAGTACAGCTTAAAGCGGACTCTCTCACTGACAGTTTCGAGGTTTGAAAGAATTGCTAAAAAGCCAGCCTCGTTCCCAGTCGTCCTCAGCGATTTCGGATGTGACGTCACCTGTCAAGCTTGTCGGGAAAGTTCGCTATCGCGCTCGGTTCCAAGCCTCCTCTGGTCACTCGAATAGCGCGAACAGGCCTGGGTACGAGGCTGCTAAAAAGCTTGTGATCGCCTTACGCTTCACAAAAAGGCCACAGCCACCTCTGCGCGGCCCAAAATCAAGCTTCGTCTCCATAACACACGGTTGGGGCCTAAGCTGAAGTTGAAAATTAGAAGAGTATTTTTGTTGGAATTGAAAAGGTCTGGCTTTCCGTGCAAAATGTACGAACACAGGAAACCACGAACATGTTGCAACCTAGCATCCCACTCATAGCTTAAAAATTCTTTACGTTTGCGTATCCTGAACTTTCTATAGATCTGGTCAAGTTTTGTTACTTAATTAATACTGAAATCATGTCATAATGTCGCAGCGATATAAATTTCTCCTGGAAACTAATTAAAACTTTTAATTCTTACCTCAGAGTAGTCGGGTCTTTTTGTCTTCCTTTCGCTAACAATGAGAAAAATCCTGCAACTTTCCTTGAAATTTGGCCGCATGTATTAATTCTTGCGAAAATAACATCCACCGGCACATTCTGATCCATTCTCACTACTTCCAAATATAAACAATTCCCGAGGAAAAGAAACGACGAGGAGGTGAAATGCCAGATCTTTGCTTTGGCAATATATTCCAGCAAGAGAGGATAAAGGGGACAGAGAAGGCATCCCCTATACACACCCTATTCCATAGGTAATTCGTCTCAAGTTATTTTTAACACCACAGATCTCAAGGGGGATTAGAAGACAGCCAATCACATAGCGCGAATGTGTTCCGCGTGGATGACCCACGCTCGGAGCCACGGGTCCTTCACGAATTGACGCAGAACAAAATGGCGGAAGACGCGGAGAGCGATATTGCTATTCCTTTTGGCCACGAAAACGACTACAGAGAGATTTCTGCTAAAGCTGTGTCAGCGAAACGGAAATTAAAAAAGAATCGCCCTTCCTCTCTTGTATAGAGCTAAAAGTACAGCAAGGAAACCCTTAACACACTGAATATTCTCTCAGGATCATTTATAATTTACAGTTTGAAGAGAGCAATTTCTAGTTTGATATTTATTCTTTTATTAGTCTTTTATTATTCAACAAAATAGCACTTGGCGTCCTACTGCGTTATGTACAAACGACCGGTTTCAATAGACCGGCGAAATTTCTCATTTCATTAAAGCTCTGAGGTTACGACAACTTCGAGTTAAACTGATTTCACGGGTTGTTGAAGAGTCCAAGGATTCCCTTTTCCCAGATGAGCGCCGACTCATTTCGCTTCAATATTCAGGAGTGCTCTCGATCTCTTTACGCTTTCATTGCCTTTTGCCCGAAATGTTTTGCACGGCGTTTAGTCATGCGAAACGTCCACGAAACATCCACGCAGCGCGCTAAGTAAATTTATCCCGATTCTATAACTAACTCGAGACGAATTACCTGTGGAATAGGGTGTGTATTGGGGATGCCTTCTCTGTCCCCTTTATCCTCTCTTGACTCCACCTATAACGCCAACGTTTCTAGAAATTGTGAGGAGGCGGAGTTAGGGACTTGGCGCGCAACCAAATTTATTCTGGCGCGAAATGATGATTACCTTGCAATGTATGCCAAAATTGAATACGATTAAATATCCCCGTGATACATAAATGTTAGCACTTTCGAGGGGCGTGACATATTAAATGGGATTAAGTTCCCATTGCTACCCATAAAGCTTAAAAGTCTGCATGGTACCGTACTTCCAGTAAAACTTGCTGCGTCCTCTCATGTACTGATGCGCTTCCCACATCCAGGGTTACAGATGTCAAAGTGCAATAAATGCCGCCTAAACGAGCAATTTCTAGAAATAATTTCGTTTTTTCTCTACAAGTCCGCCGATTTTTAAAATGTGCTGAAACTTGAGTGAAATGAATTTCGATTTTTCACAAAAATACTAGAAATAAAAAAACAGTTTATATTGTAATTTGATATGATTAATGGGAAACAGAAATTTAAAATCATTTTGTCCGTTATGCGTCCTCTTGATTTGCTTATCGTCTTAGTAGTACACTAGGGACCGAATTATCCTTTTTTGCGGTGGAATCTTATTAACTTGTGGGGGAATACCTTAATGCGGATGACGTCATAGCCTTTTGTCTTTTTCATGAATAAAATGGGGAGAATCTTATCAGGAAAGGTAATGTGCTGTTTCTAGGTGGTTTAACTGGATTGATTGGCTTTAGATCGATGAATGTCTTCCTTTTGATTGGTTGACAAAAAACTAAGAAAGGTATTAGTTTGCTGATTCATGTTGTCGAGAAGGAACAAGCGCCAACTCGCCACTGAGCCGTAATGTAATAGACAGAAGAAGTGTGACGTCACGTTACCATGGTAGCAAAATTTCTGGATCACAAAAATAGGGAGCTAAAGCAACAAACTTTACACATGCAGCACGCTTTTTTGTACATTTCTTGGCTGCGTTACACGACTGCGACATGAAACTTCCTAATTTTACGCGCCTGCTTTATGGAGTGTGTGAACACAACACAAAAATTTTCTTTTTCTTTTTCTAAACTTAGATGCGGTTCTTTCGGTTTCAACCCCAGAAATTTTCTCCAAATAAAATGAAATTCAGTGAGATCGATGAAGTTTGAAACAGTGCGAATTAACTTTTTTTATGACGTTTTCCGTTTGTTGTCATCTAGAAATTTTGCTACCATGGCAACGTGACGTAACGACTTCTCTCTGTTTTGCAAGTTCTATTTCCGGTCGCGTTCATTGTCCACTGCAGACAACAAGTAATTCTAGTTAAGGGGTAGTGCTTGTTATAGAGCAAAACTTGCATATTTATGAATTTGAAGGCAAACAGCTCTTTCTAGCACTAAACACAATCTTTACTTTCCCCACTCCCCTTCCTTCTCCTCCAGAATAAAGTTGTTTCGCTCCTACTCCAAGTTTATATCCCCCCACCACCACATTTCTATTGTTTTCCCTCCACAACCAAAAGCATCGAGTCGATAAATGTAAATGGAGGAGAGGGAGGGAGAACCATAGATATGTGGTGGTGCTGAAAACTGGTAGAACTTGATAAACCACCAATAAATAGCACGTGAAATTATCTTTATGAGGTTCTCCCCCATTTTATTCATGAGACGAAGACAAAAACCTATGACAATGTATTCCTCCTCAAGGTAAGAGATTACCCAGCTGAAAGGATAATTCGACATCTAGTACCCTATTTATGTCAGGGCCCATGGTTCTAAACCAACAAAGGACACCTTCCTAACTTGAGAAAATTTTTATTTCAAATCACTTTAAAAAATCGTTTACAATGTAAGTATGCTAGAAGAAGGAAGAAATAACAATAGCCAACAGTCACTTTAAAAATCAAAGGTGCTGCATTTGTTTTGAAAGGCGAGAAAAAGGCGTTTGAGTTACCATGCGAAGACGAGAATGTTTTGTTCGACTAACAGGCCATTTCAGTGTTCTTAAAACTCTCACTTTCAAAACGAGGCTAAGAGCAATACCGTAAAATTTCGAAAATAAGCTCCGGGGCTTATACTTTTCAAAGACCCTTTTGGAGGGGCTTATATTCGGAGGGGCTCATCTAAGGAGGGAAATCGATTGGGCTAGCCTTATAGGTGAAGTAAATTTACCGTTTTTGCTTTGTTTGACTTTGTATTTGAGGGCTTATATTTGGAGGGGCGATTTAACGAACAATTTTTTGCGTTACCGATTTGGGGGGCTTATATTTGGTGGAGCTCATCCATGGAGGGGCTTATTTTCGGAATTTTACAGTCCCTTTCTTGTGAAAACGAGTTTTATTTGCACGAGAATGGAAAATCCTTTTCATATCAATGTTCATTTTGGATGGTTGGCGAGTCATCAGGGGTGCATAGAATATTTACATAATGGTGACAATGAGTAGGTCCGAAATATCACTCGTCCCATTTCGACATAGGAAAAAGCGCGTAACCCTCATGTTTTTTTTATAAACAAATATTTGGATAGGACATATAGATTGCAACAGTCATCAATATCGTTTGGTCAAACGAAAAATTTAGTGCCTCATAATCGCTGAAAGAAAGATTAAACCAAAAAAACGGAAAAAAAAGTCTATCTTAGATAGTTAAAACGATGAACACTAGACTTTCGTACTCTTTATTAGGTCCCAAATTTCGGCGAGATAGATTTAAGTAAGGTGTTTTGTATCTTGAATGTGGAATAAGTTTAACCAGATACTACTAATGCGTATCAGCGTATCAAAAACATAGTTCTCAATGTAAGGGGGCAGTTACTAATTTACTTGAATTACAGTTCAGAGCTCCCTGATCTTCCCCTTTTCACCATAGGGTAGCCGTCGTTTTTCTCTTTTTCTGGTTTCTCCAGCTCGTATTTCCTGAAGCAATGCAGGAAATCTAGTTTTAAAGGAATAATTTCTCTCTCAAACAAGAACTTAAGGAGATACGACACAACAACGATGGTTACAAACGATGCAATCATGGCTAAGGTACGAAACGGAAACAGCTGTCCATCGTCTTTGTTGTAATATGGGTACTCAATAAACAGTGGTAGACCGATACTCTTCTCCCCTCCCCCAATGCGAAGTACCAGCCCCACTATGTACCCCATAAAAGAACCATAAGTATTGGTGCCTTGGAGATACACCACACAGCACAGCTGTGGGAACAGGATGACGTAAACCAAGTCACTGCACAGAGCCCACAAGGTGTAGATTGAATCCACTAACAGAGCCATCGCTGTAGCGGCCGCACCTACTCCAAATATGGCAAAGCGCATCACCCATACAACTTCCTTCTCGGAGGCCTGGAAAAAAAGTTAGTTCAAAACCAAAACTCAATTTTCTTGTTTGTCAACTAACTCAGTTTTTTTCGTTCGTTTTCTTGTACATCTTTCTGATTCCACGCGCAATTTTGGTTCTTAGCTGAAATAACGTAACAAATAAATTGCGCTCGTTTCCGTCAATATGACGAACAGCTTTGAAATTTATCCCAGATTGGGCGAATGACTATGTTTATCACAAAATGGAAAAGAAAAAAACAGAGAAATACCTTCGCTGAAATCATTGCCCTCAAAGGAATTTGGGGATTAGTTTTTCTAGGTCGGTTTTAGTATTAAAGCCTTAATAATCATCAGACTCTATTTTCAACCAAACGAACGGAAAGGTGGTGAGCAAAGAAATTACCACCAAAAAAACACAGTTTTTTCTTAAGGACTGCAAAATATACATCAAAATTTGTCTCTGTTTTTGTAACTTTGACGTATGGTCAATTATAACGCTTGGGGAAACATGCTTGTTGTCATGAAGCTTTTTTGAAATTCGCTTACGACAAGTTGCAGAGCGTTTAATTAACAAAACTGCACAGGTCTACTCATTGAGAATGATGACTTATCAAGAGAAGGTGACTTCTTAACCGCAAAATGGATTAGACTGCCCTAACATGGTCCCTCTGAGGGACTAAATGGAAATTCCCCATTTTTATGTCTTTATGTTTTCTAACAGTACCTCCTCACCTTCTGTCTGAAGATCAGTTTGTAAATGTTTCGAGAGAACATTGAGCTGGCGGACAAAATACTGGAGTCAGCGGACGACATGACAGCGGCGGAAACTGCACCCAGTCCCACAAATGAAACCGCTGTTGGAGTAAGGTACTGCAGCACCATGGGAAGGATTAGTGACTTATCAAATTCCACTGATGCAGTCTGATTGGTGATGTTGCCAGACGGTGGTGTATAAAAGTCAGTCTTGGTCCAGTCTGGTGTGAGACAGCAAAAAAGTAACATTTGGTAACCAACCTAAAGCTGAGTCGAACTCAGTGAGTTCTTGTGTTTTGCGCATGCGTTTAATACATTTGCTGTATTGACCATGTGTGAGGTCAAGATGGCTGGATATCGGCCAAGTTCTTTCTTCGCGTTTTTATGGACCGAGACGATGTTGAGGTCAATAAAAACGCAAGTAAGAGTGAGGTTAATGCTGAGCTATTTTGACCACAGGCAGCCCAGCCGTACTGCATGTCAATACCGGTAAGAATGTATTGTCGCGATTATAGATCGACAAATAAGGATCGGAGTTGGTAGCCTGTGCCAGGCTGTGCTCTCGGTCAGTGTAGATCTTGGGAGCCTGGAACGGGCTACGGAATTGGAGAGTAGACTATTTTTGACTGAAAAGGAGTCAACAAATATGCAGCAGTTGCAAATAAATACTCTTTTTTCTACTATATCATTGTCTGTTGGTTCGTTCCGGTCAATTTTCAACTGAAATTATTTTCTCTGTTTCTCACCGAATTCGATACTCCGATCTTATATGCCGGTTCAGCCAAAGCTTGTTTAAATGGATTGCACATCGGACTAAATGGAAGCTCGCACACCTTTAAGTAAACGTTGTCTTGCTGTTCCTGGCCGGTTTAAATGGCATGTTGTCGACTTTTACACTCAGAGGTAATGTATACAGTCAAACCCCGCTTAAAACGAACACCTCATTATTACAGACAGTTTCCTCTGTCTTTGGGGAAAGAAGGCCTTTACATTTTCTCTTAATTTAACCCTCTCACCCCGTTAATACGGACACTTTTTATGACCCCCCCCCCCCCTAGTCTTCGTATTAGAGGGGTTTGACCGCACTACCCCAGAGTGCAAAACTTGTTTGGTTGACATGATTAACTTGTTGATAGATATCGGGCCTTATACTGAAGGATTTTTCATCCGTAGTCTCAGTTTATGTTAGTGGCATAGAATGTAATACCTGTAGAGGCTCCTATAGCTCCAATGAGAACTGCCGGTACAGCCATCAGAATGCATCCAAACGCGGCTGTCACGGAGAGTCCTTGGGCTTTCCGGGCTGTCTTACATGACAATACACGTTGAAAGTACACTTGCCATGGAACACCACCAAAAGTCTGCATACGAAGTAAAACACAATTTCGAATTCCTAGTATCGAATACCTCATATAACATGGTGGCTATGGGGAAGATGTACATAAGTATAATCCAAACGGTAACTGCGTTCGGCCGCAGGAAAGCGCAACCTAATCCCGCTTAAAAATTACATTTTGAATGTCATTACCAGTTCGACACCAAAAAGATATTTACTGTGTCGTTAAATGTAAGTTGCTGCGGCTCTAAATTTTCGTTCGTGCATTCCCGTCAAACAGCCGGTGAATCTGTCTACTTTATTTGAGATGCGACTGGAGAGGTATCTTGCCACACACAAACTTACAAAGAGTGAAAAAGAAATTGACCGCAAACTATCTCTGCAGCGATAATAGATTTACCAGTAACAGTGCATAATCAATCCAGACGCCAACAAACTTGGTAGACCACTCGCCAGTCCAACGCTTCCCTGAATCATCAGCAATGTCGCTTACTGCTGAGTTTGTTAAGGCAAAAGGGATACTGATCCACTGGAAAATAAAAACGATGATGAGCATTAGATCAAAATTAGAGGAATTTAAGTAACGGCAACATAAAGGTTAAGAGATACGAAGGCAATTTACAAAGGGTCAAGATGCACAAGAGAGTGAAAAAGCGACAAAACCACGTGCAGTACACCCAGAGCGACATGACACGGGACCTGTGACAGAGGCAGAATCAAGTGCGGTGCAAACGCCGGGACGTGTAAAAGAGACATAAAACATCAACAAAATCACGTGCAGTAATCACACAGGGGCGTGCAACAGGAACGTGTTTCAGCGAGAAAACCACGTGCGGCACACATACCGGAAAATGTAACAGGGGCGTGTTCAACTACCTTGGGTGCCAGAGACTTTTCCAGCGCAGTTTCCGGTTTCTGTAAAGTCTTTACAGTGACCTGCGCGAAACTCGTGGCTTCGGCCCACGGCCAACACCGAAAATTCCCGTCGCACACGAGAAAAAACTCTGGTACCCAGGGTAGTGTTCAACAGGCCAGGACGTCTAACCAGGGTCAAAATCATGCGCGGCACACCCTGCGACATATAACAGCGACGTGTAACAGCGACAAAATCACGTCAACTACACACAGAGAGACCAGCAAACAGGGACCTGAGTAAAGCAGGAACATGAATTAAGAACAAAATTACAATGACCGCACCCACAAGGTACTGATTTGCCCGGAAAATGTTTGTTACACGAGCTAAAAAGTATAAGCACACACAGCAAATCACTCGTTTCTCCGATCCTAGCCTATTTCGTCTGTGCATAAAGGCAGGCAGTTCCCTACTGTAGCTACCTGCTGAGTTTAACTTTTAAGATGCGCATGTCAGCTGCTCTTGACTTACTTACCAGCCCAATGAAGATGCAGATAAGCTGGATGACGTCAGTGTAGGCTACAGAATAGAGCCCACCAATCAGTGTATAGAAAATAGCGATGCACGCCGATGCAATAACAGAAGGAATACGATCCAAACTTATAACAACACTGATAGTGGCACCAAGAGCAGCTAGGATGGCTGCAGACCAAAATATCTCTCCTAGTAATGCAGGTATGTACAAAAGACCGCCCATGCGCAGTCCGTACTTCTCTTGGAATGGATCTAGCATTGTGAAGTACTCTTTTTTGCGCATGATCTTGGCAAAGGCAAGTCCACCTGAAAATCATACAAAAGCCCAAAGAAGGTGAAATCCCGTTCTTTCATCCATTCTTTCTTTCCATTGACAAATATGTTTGTGAAGGTTTGTGAGACAATTTTGTAAGTACAAGACTAAATTCACTGATACTATATACAACGAAGCACAAATCATTTTTCCACAAGGCTCACTTTACGCTTACTTACAAACGCCCACTTCCAAATAAACAACTCTTATCTAATAAACGCTCCCGCTACGCTGTTAAAATTGTATTAGAAGCCCCTCCCTAATAAACGCCCGCTGTCTAATGGACATCCCCTATGAGAATTACTCCAAAATACTAGGAATTCAGTAGCAAAAAGGAGCAAAATCATTTATCAATTCATTCAGTTTCTTGCTCAATTAGCAAGGGTTCACGTATTTCATCTTGTTTAATGCGCAGTTTAATGTAAGGATAGACTAACGATGGCAACACAATAACAGTGAACTAGGAGTCTGACAACGATGTTTGGATTTGAAAGAGCGATATATGGATCTCCCGTAAAACATTTTTTGGGAGACCGTCCCCCCCCTCCCCTCTTATCTAAGGGCCTGGATGACTAGACCCCTCCCTTATCTCAAGATCTGGATCCGGCAATAGGCAACTTAAGCAACAGCGTTGTTGAGCGACGGACGTCAACCGGAAGTGGACCTTTTGCGTCATTGGGCAGTGGTTTGTTTGAAACTCTCGGATAAATCCTCTTTATAAGAGAAAAGAAACTTAGCAATACAAATTTGTTAGCGTCAAGGCATATAAAAAGGGAGAAAGGCTCACTTCCGGTTGACGTGCGTCCCTCAAAAACGTGTTTGCTTAAGCTCCCTATTGATAAGGTGTTCTTGAAATAACGCTTTGGGGTAAGCCATTTGAAAGGAGGTTTGTAGGGTTAAGACTAGCCTGAGAAAACTGCCAATATTTCGTGAAGCCACCACTAGTTTCCCCGCGAAATATCGTCTAAGAAATGAGCACAGAAATTTCATACTGATGACGTGTCACTACCCAAATCTGGGTAGTGCTTCTGCTTTGATGAAGAAAATTCCCTTCGCGGTAAGACCAATCAGGGGCACTACCCAGATGTAGTTAGTGACATGTCATCAGTATGGAATTTCTTCGCCCGTTAATCCTCCTCAGACGTCATTTCGCGGGGAAACCAGTGGTGGCTTTGCCAAATATCGGCTGTTTCCTCATCCTCGTTCCCAGGGTTCTCTCTGGCTTCAACGGGAGAAGAGAAAGAGCCCTAGGAAGGAGGTTGCTCTTTTTTTTCCTGTTGTAGGTTCTGGCTACTACTTACGCATAGTACTCACCTATTAAAAGACTCAGCGCATAACCCCACGGAGCCTGCGCCCAGACCAGACCCTGCGCAGTATCATAGACGACTTCTGCTGTGCCGTTTATGTAACCTCCACCAACCCATGTCGCTATGGAAAAAAAAACCAATAACATAAACACAGAGTAGCAATGTGAACCCGTAGCAACTGAAAAATCACATTAGACCCTGATATGTAAATCACGTTAAAGCAAACAATGCTAACGCAAATACTTCATTTCGGAATGTTCCCTTTGACGAACATTAAATATGGGGCATTTTCCAAGTGTACTCAGGCTCTTTTAACACCTTTTTACTTCATAAAGTACGTTTAATATTTTGAGGTTAAGATATTGATAAATGGCGTGTGTTTAAGGAGCGAGGAAGCTGAAGCAGCTGTCAATCGAAAATAAAATACATGTTAAACTCTTCAAAATACAACAATGAGTCAAAGTTCGTCGATGCATGGTATAACAGCAAAATGAAAATCATTCATTTTCAGCGAGGACAATAGACTTACCTTACCTGGGTGTCAGTACGAGATTTTTTTTTTTCTCATCTTACTCTTGATAGTTTGCGGTGAAGCGTCTCCAGAGCTTTATCAAACCGCCGTGAGCACAGTTTATTTAATCCTAAGCACTTCAGTCGAGAACGGACCTCTAAGGCCAGGGTAAGACTTAAAGGTCCAGCAAGGGAGAAAGTCTCAACCGTTTTAAACTTCCAGGAAACCTCAACTTGAACACCATGCGAGCAGATGTTACTCTCTTGCAAGGCTTTTAGCATTTGCGAAGTTGTTCGCGTAGCTTGTCTATCGCGTATTTCGATGACAAGCTAAGCGAACGACTTCACAAATGCTAAAACAGGGGCACCCAACGAGAATATAGTTAAAAACCACTTAAAAATAGCATTGTTGAACGTATTTTAGTATTTAAACGGTAGATATGGGCTTATTTTTATCCCCTAAAAATTTTTCATCTGTTCGGATTTCCTTGCTGAAGGTCTACATGGTCTAGTGATCCGAAAATTATAGGGATCAAAACTTACCTTTTCGAAAATTTCAGCCAGAAAAAAGGCTTCCGAAAATTCTAGGTGACCTTTTTACGGTAAAAATCCGTTAAAAATGGGCAATTATACCATGTTTGGGAGGTTCGAAAATCCTAGGAGAGGCATGCAAGCAAGAAATTTAGCAACAAATGTTCCGAAAAGTCTAGATCTCAAATCGTCTTCCGAACAGATATTTTCCAAAAATTGTCGTCGGGTGCCCCTGCTAAAAGCCATGCAAGAGAGAAACCGCTCAGAAACCTTTGCTCGCAGGGTACAACTTATAAAGAAAGTGGACTATCCGCAAGATATAATCAATTTACCGGCCTTCTATACGCTTAATTCTTTCTTCCTGGATCAGAAACATGTAAATTACCTGTCATGGTAAAGGTACCAACGAACAACCCGATACTTCTTCCTGCCAACATGGCTTCCTCCTCGCCTTCTTTGCGCCGACGAGCTGCCCATAAGCCGACAACAAGAATAAGAAGATAAAAAACAACGATCGCAACCACACCCACTATGTTTATGTCCGCCATGTTTTTCGATCAACTTTGTGAGTGCACTTGAAATCGAAGGAGTCTGGAAAGAGAACGGAACTGAGTCAATGTTATGAATACGTCTGAATCGATAGGCTGTGCTGCTGAACCGCACGGTGAAAGACCGTCTTCTCATTCATTTGTGCAGAAACTTTTCAATCACTATTTATCCTTACCTAAATACTTACACCCCAGAAATTCTAAAAAAAAGGGACCCAGTCCCGTATATAGTAAGATTTACTCTCAAACAAAGTATAATATCATTGCCCTGCCCTTCTATTTCAGCTCTTCGATTCTTACCGCAGGGACTCCAAATGTAAAATGCCATCAATAGATACAAAAGGTTTACCGTGCAGCAATGAAATTTTTTTAATTACAGAGCTTACTAAATCAGATGTACTGGCGCCGATTTTTCACATGGCTTTCTAATTACCTCTTCAGCGAGTTGTTTTGATCATTAAATAGCTAAGTAACTAAATGACTATTATAAGATTTAAAAAAGGAACCGGGTTTTTCCGGCAGCACCGGTGAAGTCCTTGAAACTCTCCAAAATAATCGGAATACGTATTCAGTTATCGGGATTTAAGGTTAGTGATTAGATAAAGAATTTTAGGAGTGCCTTACACCTTTTTAATCAGATTGGATTTTTATTAGGTTGTTTTTGCATCACAAAAAGTCTCACCTTGTATCAATTTTAATAAATGATTTCAGCGATAAAAATTTCAAAGTAAGATCAAAATCAGGGTAATGGGTAACAGAGTAATGTAATGCTTAACTTCTTACTACAGTCCTAAAACTACAAAAAGCGTTTTCAAAATGTCGACCCAAATGATATTTTATCTAGACCGCTATTAGGTTGGAAAAACGAAGTTCTTGGCTCTTTTCATCCATTCTTACTGCATGCAAGCTGTTGTTTATACACCAGGTTATACATTTCCTGATCCCAGTGGTTATTTTTGTGTTTCGTCTCAAAAGAACTTTTAAGAGGACCTCGTTATCCACCGCGGTCAAGAGTCTAGGATGCATGATTAATTCTCTAACGTAATCTTTTCATTTTTCTAAAAATAATGAGCTTCTTTTTGTTGGAAACCGGATCGCGTAGAGAACTTTTTTATAGTAAACTTCCAATGGTTTAGTAAATGAACAGACTAGGAATATATTAAACTTTAACAATGACAACTCAAGACTGCCGCTGAAACAACTGTAAATCATGCCATTTACTTTTTATTTAAGGGTCGTCGCTCAACTGTGTTTCAAATATCATCTTAAGGAAGCTGAACCATTACGATATTTTCTAAAACTATCCAAGACATGAATTTTCAAGATTGGTTAATGAAATGTTCAAGCAAATAAACTTCAAAGACTATGGCTTCGACACCTGACTAAGTACTGTAACTAACACTTACTGGGAATTGCTAAGGTCCTGAGCAACTTTAAAAGCTCGCGAGTTAAAAGAAACAGTACAAAGGCTCAGGGAAAGGCTTTCAACTAACAAACCGCAGCGGCTAAAAGGCATGCCATAAGGTCATCTAACCGGAACTAATCTATTGTTAATTAACTGCCGTTTGTATATTATTTAAAATGCAAATTTATAGGTTCTTTTGAAAAAATGTATTGAAGAACGAACCAAAATAAATATCGTTGGCTTGTACCCCGAAATTTGTATGCGTAAAGCAAAGGTGCAAATTCATAAAAAGAGTTTGTATCGCCGTATACGTAGCGACTCTCGTTCCAACCAGCGCGCTACAGCGATAACAATTGTCACAACCAAGCTGAAGTAATATTCCTAACCAACTGTAATCAAAATATCAAGGTGTAGTTTCGAAAATACGCCCCCTTGCTGCATTTCTCTCAATAAATTGTGACTACAGTAAACGCACACTAAATGCAGACAGTATGAAGACTTTAATACGAGATATTGGTAGATACCGCGCGTTTCAACTACAAGACTAACTCTAAAACAACAGTTAGGCAAATCAGCTACTAGTAGGTTGCGCGGGACGGACTATTTAGGAGAAAATAATAAATTGGGGCTAGCCTGTCCCGGGCGTTCAGATGGTAGGGAACGGGCGAAAAATTGACGAGTCTCCCCTCCTTTTTACCCCCTCGTGTTTCTTTTTGCGCTCGCCGCGTACGACTTAACTCGCTCCCCACCATCCAAACGCTGGAATGGGCTAAATTGGCGCATTCAGTGAACGCAGTACTACCAAAAGTCTTCGTTAAGAATATCTAAAATACCTTCTAGTCAGGAGTTTTCAAATGTTTTCAGATTTCTTTTGATTGTCCTCTTGCACGAAACGACAGTGCTTGAGACCAACAGTAATAAGTGGGACACCCGAAAATTGAGTGTACGCTTGGGTCTGTAACAAATGATAGCAACCTCTGCAAAGTCTGCAAAGGTCAAGTACTCTAACCGTGAGGGGTCTGGGTATAGCTTAACAACTGTCATGGCGACTTGCTCAAAGAAAACTGAGTGAAACTCGACTCGAGATAAACAACGATATGCTTTCGATTGGGGATAGTCACAGCCGGGAAAATTTTGAAGGAATTGCTCGCAAGTGAGACTGAAAAGTTCAAATATTGAATCTTGTCAATGTCTCGAATATTCTTGCGGCATGGAATTTTGGGCTTGAGTGATCATTAATAACAGTCGTGGCTCGTGGGTTGAAATCTTTTGCAATAGATTCGCATGAGCAGAAAGAGAACGTCATCGGAAGTTCAAACACGCATTCAACAACGCTACGAGGATACAGCACTACTTATTTACCGCCAACAACACGTAGACAAGCAAAATAACTTATCCTTGAATGAACTCTCGCTACAAACACGACATGCGTTTGAGTACATTGATGAGGTTCCTCAGCTTCGGGACAGAGCTGCTGCTCCCAGGCAGCAACAAACACAATCAAAAATTTGTGTCATCCTTTAGTAGGCAGCACGGACATTCTAGTGACTGGGAGAAATATCTAAACACCAAGCGAAGGGGATCAGAATACATTAAGAAAGGAATGTGTGTCATGATTTTATCATTTACACGGAAGTCTCAAGCATGTTCATTGGTTTTCTCTTTATGTCACTCAGCATCGAGCCAGATGTGTTCTTGTCTTGAATTTTCTTATTGATATTGATATTTGATTCTGTATTCTTCCATTTCTGTTTCCTTGATTCCGTTTCCGGTTCGGTTCAGTTCCGTGTTTTAGTGCTAGAAATAAGAATTTTCCTTTAGTTTCTTGTTACCTTTTTTAAAATCTTCCCAGTTTTTTAAAACCCTAAAACAAAATAATCAGGGTGACCCTGTCTTAAACAGATAGTTTTAGTTTTTACAGTGCGACTGGGGAAACCGTGAACACTTGAAATATTTCAGGAATGTTTATTGTGTTACAACCAATGTGACAGAAGGCTTGCTTGCGGTTTAACGCTCTGAGAAAAAACCTCTGGTCACTAGAGTTACCTTGGACCCCACTGGAGGTGCCAGGTTTTTTATCCGTGGATAGTGCTTCCAGCCTTTTTATTCCTGATGGCTACTGATAGTTCAATGCAAAGCATCAAACAATGCAAAAGTTGAATGTATTGTGCTGAATGAAAAATGTTGATTACCTTTTCTGGTTTTAAAACCCTAGGTGACCCCTGATAGTTTGCACAGAAGGCCCAACTAGAGTTTTTTTTTTACTTTATTCTCTGTGTCAGAGGATTTTTTCTTGCCTTATTCTAGCAATGCCTGAAGTGCCTTCAATAGCCTGTGTAGTAGGCAGGGTGTTTTTTATGTCGTTCTCTCATTTGACCCCGTGCCAGCTGTTTGTGCAGCTGTGTCTCCTCTTATTTGCACATAAAACTATTGAGATAGATTTAACCCCCTCCCTCCCTACCACCACCACCATTAGAAATGTTTAGAGAAACAACACAAATTAATGCTAAAAATATATCTATAGATTAAAGAAACTATCCTATCATTAATTACACAGAAATTAACCTCAAGTATACGTTATAAAATATATGACACAAAAAAAGTTCTATCACAACTCCCTCAAGGCAATGACAGGGCAGACTTGAAAGAGTTGAGATTTATCTCGTCTTTAAGCTCATTTTCTGGGCCATTCTACGACTGCCCCCCTGTAGCTAAAAGCTGGCTTAGCAGCTTCAGTACGAGGCACCTCATATGTTGTAGGATAAAGGGGTAAAGGTTATTCAGATATTTAAAACACTTATTGCGAGCTGCTTAGAATGTCTTTGATCAAGGGTATCCCATCCTAACTCTTGGAGAATATCCGCAGATCTTGTATTATAATCACTAAATGTTATAATTCTCCCAGCCCTATTTTGCCATCTTTGGAGTCTGTCACACAGGCCTTTTCCCATACATCCCCAAACTTCGAAGCAATAATCAAAATAAGAAGTGACTAAAGCCTCATACATTGTCATTAGGGTTTGGCGAGGCACCAGGGAACGAATACCTTTTAAGGCCCCGATACCTGCAAATACCTTTTTACGGATGGTATCTACTTGGGATTTCCACCTCAATGTCTTGTCAACCTCTATTCCCAGATATCTATAGTTAGTCACCCAAGTCAACTGTTTGATTATTAACAGTAACGGTTAAGTCACCATTTTAATGCCTTAGTCTGTTGTGGCTTCCAATATTATTATCATATATTTTGTCTTTTTGATATTTAATGTGAGTTTATTGGATTTCTGCCTTTTTTGAACCTCATTTAAGTCTTTGTTTAACTTTTCTTCAAGAGTTGTGGGGTCATAAGCAGAAAGGGTAAGCGAGGTGTCATAAAAAAAAGAACTGGTGGAGAGGTCATTTATTTGGTCTAACAACTGTCAGGGAGAACGAATGTGATCATCAATTACGGTATTAAAAGGGTAGGGAAGTTCCCACATTTTAGACAGGCAACATAATCTACTCTTATCTGAACTCTTGTCCACCATAGAGTCAAGATTTAAGAAAAGAATTATGTATATTTGGCAAATATATTTATCTGGAACTGATGAACCAGTGATGTACCTGCCCTGTAGCAGTGACTGCTTTAAGGGGTATGACAGTACAACCATTTAATGTTGTGTTTAGTAAAATGAACCAGAAGTAATCCTTTCTTTTATTTCGTGCTATGACAACTCAACATTTTAACATCTGAAAAACAGAACAAGATGATGAAGAAAACTAACTATTACAGTTAAGGTTAGTCCTTTTGTTGCTAACATTCCCATTAAAAATATTTTGCAGGAAGATTTCATTCATGCCACACCAAATTTACCAACAAGCCATAAAATAATACACTAATGCTATTTACAAAACAAGCTTAAAGGATTCTTTTGAATAACTTGTCTAATTGAAACTGGCCAAGTCAAACACCTGGCCCCGGTTGTTCAAATGCTGGAATAGTGCTACCCACAGGATAAATCACTATCTAGCAGACAAGCATTAGGAAAACTAATTGTGCCACCCAATGGATGGAATTTTATCAGGTGGATAGCACTATTCACCTTTCGAACAACTGAGGCCAGCTACTCACAAGGAGACTTCACCTTTTTATGTACAAAAGAAAACTGAATCAAAATTTGATTACATGTACCGTTGTTCTTGTTGTGTTGTCTCAAAGTGACTGCAACCATTTTGTCCTCATTTTGATAGAAGGACTGAAAGATCACATTTTTTTCAAGGTTGCTCAACCACATTCAGAGAATTTCCTGATGTCACGACTCTGGCAACCACTAAACTACATGAACAAAAACAATGCAAATCATGTCTTTTATTAGCATTTCAGTTGTAAGAAAAATGTGAACTCCTTATGCATCTTTTAACTAGTTGGTAAAAGAGCAAAAAAATGGTCATCATTTCTCAGCCTAATGTAGCTGGGTATGGCTGATGTCGTCATAAAATGTATTGAATAAAATAACACTAGAAAATACAACTGGCCAACTCATTTGAAACACCTTCCATTAAATGTATAGGCATCTGTATTTCTATTCCTATATTCTCTATGATGTAATAAATTAATTACTCGTCTGAAACACATGTTCATATACAAACTGCAGAATAAACAATCTAAACTTTTTAATTTTCATTTTCTAAATTCCCTCCTTGGGTCTTTTTATGGTGGCAGGTGGCTCAAGTTGCTGTATTAGTATTATGCTAAGGGGGGGTTAGGGTTAGGGTTGGGTCCAGACCCTAAGGAATGGGATGGGGTGCTTATTAAGACCTTGTAACAATTGGGGGGTGGGGGGCAGGGAGGAGTTCATAACAGTGGTTGAAAAGTTAACTTACTATAAAAGGCACTTCTCTTGTAATTTCAAAATTAATATCCCATTAACTTGAGATAACTGTTAAAAAAATATGATGTGACAGTTACATTTCTCAATAAAATTCTGTATTACATTAACATTTCTTATCAAATGACCTTGTGCAAAGTTTAAAATCTAAATCCTTCCTGTAATCCCACTATAGCACACACAATGAAATGAGACTGAGGGCTTGGATGGACAAAACTGTTCCAATTATCACAATATTTTGTCAACCCACGCCTCAAGTCTGGCGCCTGTTTTTTGCAGGTATTTGGAAAAAGAACCATTTGAAAGTATTCTGTTACATTGTAACTTTTTAAACTTTTATGCACAATTACTATTAATTCGGGCCCTTTGCCAGTTCATTGATCGTCGGCATTTTGAAGCTAGAAAATTCCCCACAGTAAACTGGTTGAACTTGTTAAACTTTGGCCAGCACAACTTAGCAACCTGCAAAAGTCAGAAAAACCATTTTTTTTTAAGTTCATTTTCTACACCACTGGTAAGCGTTTGAATGTATTCATCAATGACAAAAACAAAAACAAACTAAAAGTCACAAGTCAGGTTTTCCTTTCCTGTATAACTGATTTACATTATATATTTTTACACCTTTGTTCTTTCCAATGCTTGTTTCAGCTCAATATTAAGTAGAAAGTGGTTTGTGAATTCTTAGTATTTAAGCCCCTAGCTCCAAAAATAATAGGATAAATGAGGTTCATCATCATCATGCGATCCTTTTCCCTATGTAACAAGTAGGGCAGGAAATCATTGTTCTCTAATGCCATACATCCTGGGCAACAGTGGAGGCCTCAAACCATGACCACAGGCCAAACTCCTTATTAGTTCTCATTTGGTTTAAATAAATTTATTACAGTCAAACCTCCACTAACAGCCACATCTCAACAACAGCCACCTCTCTCCAACAGCCACTTTTTTTGGCAGACAGTCCACACATCGACTCTTGTTTGAACCTCACTACAACGGTCACTTTCTTCTGTCCCCAAGGTTGAGGAGAGGTTCAACTGTACATGAAAAATTAGTTTATCTACTTAAATGTTCCGTTTGAAGCCACTGAGAGTAGCAATAGAAGCAACAGACTTGTCACTCACTAGCTTTTGATTTCTTTATGAAGTATTTCCTGTTTCAGCCCTTCAATTTTCATTTCCACTTCCTGTAGTTCATCGACCGTACCACCAGTAGCGCATGTTGTGTGACCGCCAGTCATCAATCCCTGCAGAATGCGTTTCCTAAAAGGACAAGAGAGAATTTCTTAGCTCATTGGTGATTCTCTCCCACTACCGCCCCTGATTGGGTGCTAGTCATCTGTGTGCTCCTGTATGGGGTACTAGTCACTTACTCTATACCCCTTGCTGCTCCTTTGGATTGTACATTGAATATCTATAACTGTATTCTGACAAATTTTCCTATTGATGAAAAAGGGGCAATTCACATGACATAAAACTGCTATAATACAAATGGAAGTATTTAAGAGCAAAATAAGTTCACAAACAAATAATTTGCAAACATTCAGACAAACATTGAAATCACTGGTGATCACTGCAACCTGGTTGGCTGTCAACAGTGTGTTTATTCACAAATCACACAATTATTTGCTCTACATCACATCTGTTCTAAATTGCATCATTTCATCAAAATGAGATGAAAAGGTCTTTTCTACTTTCAACACACCAGCTGCTAGATCAACAAAATCTCAGTAGTGGCTGAATTCTGCAATTTCAAAATGGCAATTGCAATTTTGGTCTGAAATCTTACTAGGTATTTGAAATCAAACTCACATAGCATACTTGTCTGATTTTTAAAAAATGTGTATGATTTCAGACCAAAATATTATTGTACTCCACTCTATACAATTACCATAAATTATAATATATTTACAGACCTTCTAAACTGCATAGCCTGCAGAAGCAGCTGTAGCTCTTCAATCCCAAGGTCAGTTTCAGACAATTGATCTTCTGAACTGCTTCCTGTCTCTGATCCCTGTTGCTCCTCCTTTTGCTGAAATATAACCATATAACTTTTGCTGTAATATAACATTACTTTAGTAAAGGTAAGGAGAATGAATTACCGTAAAAACTCGTGAATAAGCCGCACCTTTTTGCCGAAATTTTGAGTCAAAAATCACGGGTGCGGCTTATACACGAGACCATTGCTCTCAAAGGGAGTAAACTGGCTTGTAGGAGTCACAAATTGAACTGAAAACCTTCAGTAAATAAAGATTAAACATATTGAAACCTGTCGTTGATCATTGCTTTCAGTAGATTGATGAGCTGTACTTTCAAACATTGTACAATGTAAATAGTTTTTTGCTTAAACAAGGAATTTCGTTTTCTAATATCAAGATATCTGTACCTGTTACTTGTAAATATATTATTCAGTTTTGTAAAATACAGTCTTCACAAGTCCAGCATTTGTTTACTTGTGTCCTTCTCTGGTGTCCAGACTTCCCTCGTCAAATAAACGCATGGTTACTAAGCAATCGTTTTGTAGCATTCTCCAGCGCTTTATTTTCATTCCATCGTTCCATTTTCATTTCAACTGTGGGCTTTAGCAATGAAGAGAACTGTTGTCTTTCGCAGGAAATGGAGAAATTGATTAAAGAGAACCTTTTAAAAGGTATTTTCAGAGTTGATTAACTTATTTAAAATGTCACTGCAAATACACAACATTAAATTTCCTCAAGTTTATTTGTGAACATTTTGATGCGCGAACAAACGATCACCTTTTTCACAAAAGCGCATTTTTGGTTTTTTTTTTTTTCAAAATCATGCTTGAAAGTTGGGGATGCGGCTTATACACGAGTGCGGCTTATACACGAGTTTTTACGGTACTAACAAAGCCAGTATGTTTGAAGGTTTGGAAAGTAAAGGATTTAATTTTCATTTACAGTACCTTTAAAAACCAGTAATTTTCTCCTTCGCTCTTGAAACAATCTATCTCATCCAACAGATGTGACAGCAGCAATTCAGAAGGATGGTCAAAAGTTCTCAAAATTTCTGGAAGTCTGGAGTCAAATGAAGATAACACTTTCATCACCAGTAAACATAACATCCAGTATATAAATGTATGTTGTAGTTAATTTTTCATTTCAGTTAACATGTAATTTTCCATTGTCTTGGGGTATGGTATACCCTGGGTACCCAGAGGTTTTTCTCGCGTGCGGTGGGAATTTTCGGTGTTGGCCGAAGGCCGAAGCCACGAGTGGCGAAGCCGCGAGAAAAACCTTTGGCACGGAGCGGTGCTTTTTACCGTTCCCGTTGACCTTTGTGCTTTTTTATCGGATTACATTTACGCCAATCAGATTGAAAATCTCCAACTGTGATCAGGTGGGCCGGCACGTGAAGAAGTGTCCAAAGACCCACATTATCCTTAGCAAAACAAATTTGAGTTTAAAATTCATTGCTTTAAGAGCAATCACGACTGGGTCACATCGCAGTTCTCCATAGTTGATGTAGCTTCAGTTAAGCTGCAATCCATTCTTCAAGATTTGGATCTGAAAATCACTATCCGTGAGAATTTAACATCCTGTTAAAAACGCTAACGAGCTGGGCCCAGCGTGACAAAACATTCCCTGAAACCGTCACTTTCACGGACAAAAAGAAAATCGCTTATAATTTTTCAGATCCAGGAGGCACTTTGGAGAAATAAAACAACCTAAAACCCTTATTTAGAAGACCTTAACATTTCAAAAGAGGTCAAAGAAAATGCTCTTGCATCAGAAGGCAAATTATGTGCCGACCAAACACAATAACCGCAGAAAATCAATATGCGTGTCACGACCTCTCAGTATGAAATAATCGGCAAAAATCAAATTTGCTTAGTCAAAACGTTTTTCTCCAGAGCATAATCTACGAATCACGGAAAAAAATTCATTGGAACAAGCAGGATTTTGGCATGAGGTAAAAGTCGTGTGTTGCCTTCTGACCCCCCTTTTATACTAAAAATACATGTTTTGTTCTTATATTCCTAACCCATCAACACAAACTATTTCAAATTATGCTGTAATCGTTTGAAATAGGAAACTAGTAAAGCTTAAACCGTATTTGCTACAAAAGCTGAATTGGTGATAAAAGCTTAATTGCATTGAATAAAATTAAATACTCCACTCGTTTGCTCAGAGCTTTTAACTTGTCCTTCTAGTACATTGCTTATCATGCTCTTTCAAAACTTTCCAAAGCCAACACACAACACAACAGCAACAGTTCTCGCTAGTACACTTAAGTCATGTCAACAGCAAAGTTGGAAATATTCTTTCACGTGCTGGTCTATTCTTGTCAACCAATTGTAGCGTCTGTTAGATTCAAAGTCCCTCGGGTGGTCGTTAGTAGCCAATCAGCCGTCTTGTCCAAAATCTGGACCAACTGATTTAACTGTGTTAACGATTGGATCGGCGCCATCAAAGCAATAGCGCTCTGCTCCAGAGGCTTTTCGCGCGGGTCACTATAAAGACTTGACAGAAACCGGAAACCGCGCTCAGAAAAGTCTCTGGCACCCAGGGTAGGTATGGTAATGTATGCTAATGAATTTAAAACAAAGGAAAAACAAAATTAACTGAAAAAAAAAATGTACTGCAACATAGACATTCTATCTATGCAATAACTTGCAGGCAAAATTTACAGATATAAATTTAGGGGAATTAAATTATTTCCCATGGCAGTGGACCAATATGGATGAGAAATGAAGTAAGGTTGTGGAAGATCCTCAATAATTCTGAACATATAAGTTTCTCGAAGAGTGGATTTCTCCAAGGGTGGATTTCCACTGCCGCTTAATTTTTTCAGGAGTGTGTACATGAATTTTTGCCCTCAACTTTGATGTTTACACATGGCTTTTCATACATTGCCTCTATTTTATTTACACGCACAAATTTTACCTGTGCACAGACTGAAAAATCACACAACAATGGAAATCCACCGTAACTTGAACTGAGATTTTTTCATAGTACCTATTTTGATCAATGTTTTGCGTTGTTGCAGCTTGTAGTAATCCAGTGTATGTTACAGGTTAAAATTTTTAAAATTTTCTAACCCAGGTTGATTCTCAAATTCCTTTGTTTCCTAGCCCTAATTCATGAATAATTAGGGATAGGAGACAATAGAATTTGAGAATCAATCTGGGTTAAAAAATTTTAACCTGAATTCAATTTTGACCTGTAACATCTATCCCACTGCTGCCACCATGTTAAGTTTTCTACACAACTATACTATACTAGATGTATACTTGACCACTGACTTTATTCAAATGATTACACAACTACAAAATCTACGGGTTATCTCAGAATGTCAATCACATGCCTGCCACATGAAATACATTAATTATGTTAATAGAAATTTGTAGATTATGCAACAACTTGCCTACATAACGAGTATATTTCTCACCCTTCAAATTCATAAAGTGTAACAAAACTCCTGGGTTCATTTCCATCTGTTACACCCGGAACTTTGCATCTGAAATAACACCACAAATTTCACTCTTTTTTTCTCAGTCAAATACTCAAGCTCATTAAAGAAAACAAATGGTATAAACTGACACTAACTCTGACCTGACAAGAACTTTAAACAGTTCTTCATTTTCAGTGTATGACACAACCACCTTGGCTATAGCTTTTTTCTTCTGACGAAGCTAAAGTAATAGAATGCATAGTTTATCTGTCAGCTGTGTATCAGAATTTCACACCACAATGAAGAGAAAATAATAAAAAATAAAATAAGAACAACTTTTATTGCGTTCGACGTTAGGAAAATGCAACACATAATCTTGGGATTCCTGTGGTATTCAAGGGTGACATTTTGTGGTATTCATTTCATTGTAAGTCAGCATTTTCTGCGCCATCTTCAATAATTTATCTTGTGGGCACAAAATGTTAAATACAATTAATTTTACATACAGTCTTAGCAATGCTTGCGTGGTGCAAAGGATAATGTGTTGCCCTTACACGTCGTAGGTCTCGGGTTCGACTTCAGCCAGGTGAGACTTTTTTTTTCATAGTCATTTTGTTTTACTTTGTTTCTTTTTTTAAAAAAACATATGGGAAGCGTTTTATAGCATCAATTTATTAGGAAGTAATGTCACATTTGACAGTAAACCTAAAAAAGCTTGAACGCACTTCCTTATGTGAGATTACCACGAGTCAAAATCAAATTCATCGATATCATTTCTCTAAAAACCGATGAAGAAAGCTTAAGTAAAAAATGCATGAAAAAATAAAATAATTATACATTCGAACCTCTCTACAATGGCCACCTTGGGGACCGAAGAAAGTGGCCGTTGTAGAGAGGTTGCCGTTAGTGGAGGTTCAACTGTATTAACCCTTTAAGCCTCAAGATCTACATACAAATTCTCCAGAGTGATCTCCACCCATTTCTTTTCACAATAGTTGAGAGAATTTGGTTTAAGATCAAAGTATTCTCCTTTTGGTAATAAATTTAGTAATTCTTATAACCTTTACACTTAAGCATTCT